CTTTCTGTATGGGGAGGCAAAATGGTGTAGTGGTTTGGAAGGTAAGCTTTGCATCAGACAGAGAGAAGTTTAAATCTAAGCCCTGTTGTTTGCTAGCTATCCTATTATGGGCAAGGAACTAAATCTCTCAGAGTCTCAGTTTCCTCATGTATAAAATGAAATAAAGCACCTATGTCATGGGGTTTGTTTTGAAGATTAAATGAGATAATGCATGTAAAGCACTTAACATGGTGCCTGACACTCAGTAATGGTCAACAAAAATTTTTTTCAAATCTGTGATTAGGTCTAAGAATCATTTTCTTGTTTGCAAAGAGCCCTGTCAACAAATCCAGTTCTCTTCCATGGAAATAAGGCTTGTGGTTCTCTGCCTGTAATATAATGTGCACAAACATCCAGATTAGTTTCACTCACTCTCACTGGGATAATCCCAGGCCTTTGAGATAAATGTTAATAAATTCTATCTATGCACAGAGGAGTCAAATGCTCCCAGAAGCTCAGAAGTGAAATGTTTTTCTAGTTTAGCATGATCTCAATTTAGATGACAATTTACTTCTACCTCTTTCTCCCCTCTCCTTCTGGGACTTCCATTTTGCATATATTGATATGCTTGATGGTGTTTCTGAGGTCTCTGAGGCTCTGTTCATTCTTCTGCATTCTCTTTTCTTTGTGTTCTTAAGATTGAAGAGTCTCATTTGACTTACCTTCAGGTTTTTTTTTTTTTTTTCCTTTTTGTCTTTTTTCGTGACTGGCAACGGATCGCAACCCTCGGTGTTGCGCCCACACCTCGCTCAGCCAGTGAGCGGCTGGTCTGTATGTGGGATCCGAACCCTCGGCAGGAGCGCCGCCGCGCTTCCCAAGCGGCACACTGTAGCAGTGCGCCACCAGGCTGGCCCTACCTTCAGGTTTGTTGATTCTTTCTTCTGCTAGTTCAAATCTGCTGTTAAGCCCTCAAGTGAATTTACATTTCAGTTATTGTACTTTTCGACTCCAGAATTTCTTTTTTTTTTTTTGCCCTCAAGTGAATTTACATTTCAGTTATTGTACTTTTCGACTCCAGAATTTCTTTTTTTTTTTTTAAATTTTGTTCTTTGTTTTTCATTGTACATGTTTATGGGATACAATGTGTTGTTTCAATGCATGAATATATTGTATAATGATCTAATCAGAGTAGTTAGCATATTTACCACCTAATCCAGAATTCCTATCGGTGTCTTTTTTATTTGTCTCTTTATTGATATTCTCTATTTGACGAATAATCATCTCATACTTTTCTTTAGTCCTTTAGACATAGTTGCCTTTAGTTCTTTAAACATATTGATAATAGTGAATTTACCATCTTTGGCTATTATGTCCAATGTCTGGGCTTCCTCAGGGAAGCTTTTTTTCTTCCCCCATGTGTAAGAGCCATACTTTCCTGTTTCTTTGCATGTCTCATACTTTTTTGTTGATGAAAACTGGACATTGTTAAAATAATGTGTCAATCCTGGAAATGAGAGCCTCCTCCCGCCCCAGGATTTGTTGCTGTTACTGCAGTTGCTGCTGTTTGTTTAGTGACTTTCCTGGACTGATTTTATAAAGTCTATATTCTTTGTTGCGTGTCACTGTCGCCACTGAAGTTTCTGCTCTGTTAGCTTAGTATTAAGCTAATGTATTGGACAGAGCTTTTTAAAAATGTCTTAATCCAGTAAGTCTCCCATCTTTGCCAAGGAGCTCTGTGTGTTTATTAGGGCTCACCTTCAACACCCCAGCAGCTAGCTGACAACTCTGGATTAACCTTTACTTCCTGCTTGTACAGAGCCTCAAGGTCAGCTAGAAGTGAGAATTTAGGTCTCTCTCAGTTCTTTCCTGAGTATGAGCTCTGCACATGCATGTGGACTTCCAAATCCCTAAGAACATGTCAGAGCTTTTCAAAGCCCCCTAGACATTTCATTCTCCCTATTTTCTTTTCATGATTTTCAGCCAACTTTTTGTTTGCTCCAACTGGTATACCCACCTCAGACAGCTATGATGTTAAACAGTGCCACTGATTGTTTTCGACAAATGCACTAGATATAGGGCTTTTCCCACTTGAGCAAGCTCCAAGTCAGATCAAATAACGACAAGCTTTGTGAATGGGACTTTTCTAGAGACCTGCCAGATGGGTCAAATAGTGCTAATTTGGGGGGATGGGGCTTCCAGGGGAGCTTCAAACCTATTTTGCTCCCTTTAGCTGTTTTGCACAGCTACCATGACTGCAAGGCAGCTGTTTTTCACAGCTACCACGGCTGAGAGGCAGCTGGTTTTCACAGCTACCATGGTTGTGAGACTGCTGGTTGTCAAGGCTACTGCAGAGTTTGGGAGAAGGGGATCGGAATAGTCAAAACACAAACCCCACTGTTCTAACTGATATTCAGCCATTTTTCTTGAATAAATGTCACTTAGATTGTTGTAAGCCTTTGGTTAAGAGTATTGAAAAAATTGATTTTGACAATTTTTCTAAGTGTTCTTGTTGCTTTTATGGAGGAGCAGATTTTCTAAGGTCCTTACTCCACCATTCAGAAGTGCTTCCCTACTTATTTCCCGTGTTATCATTTAACCAAATAGATTAGGAAGAATGTCCAGAAGCACAGGATTAAAAACACTCTGCCAAATTAAAGACCATATAGGCAACCAGCCTTGCAAGAGGGAAGTTGCAAGAGGGAGTTGCTTCACTCCCCACAACATGGCCCAAAGATAAGCCCCTAAGTGACCATGAGCAACATTGTTCCTGGTACATTTTGTTTTTGTTTCTTGCTTTCATGGGTCAGTAACCTGGCCCTGCCATCAACAGTCTCCAGCACTAAGACCACAGCCTCTGGAATGGGACTGTTGTCCCGTTATCACCACCATCACCATCTTCAGCCATAGAAAAGATTTATGAAGCAGTCCTCTGCCCTAGAATCCCAAATTAGGTCTCAAATACCCTGTTGTCAGATGCAATAAGGTTTATGGTGGTCAAAGGTCAATGCACTCAAGATATTTAACTCTAGTAAAAAGTGAAAATTCTTGGAGTCACGGAATCCTGAGTCTGGAAGGGACCCCAAAGGTCATTTGGTCTCACTATTCTGAGATTCGTCACAACATCCCCACCAAGTGGTTGGTCCCATCTATGCTTGGATACCTCCACGTGACAGGCAACTCATAACTTCCTTAGTTGAACATCTCTAAGTGCTGGAAACTTTGTCTTTATATTACAGATAAATACAGAGACAAACTCATAGAGAATTGAGAAACTGGAGGGAATAAGGAACAGAGAACCAAGAGCTTAAGACTAATCTGGTCATCTAGAGCTATACTAGGTGGGAGGTCACCTAAATTTTGTGTATGCCTGAAAAATTTAGGAGGGCCTCTTCCACTCCTAAATGACACCATTGTTATCTAGTACTTCAGCAGATAAACATTTTAATTGAAATAAAGGGCACTGATAAGCCTAAAGCAAAACCCTGGCACAATTCTAGGAAAGCAGTATAGGCAATTTTGGAATAGGCATTAGGAACAAAGCCTTTGGAGTTAGACAAACCTGTATTTGAATTCTGGCTCTACCACTTAAAAGCTGTGTGACCTTGGGCTAGTTACCTAATCTCTCTGAGTTTGTTTCCTCATCTGTTAAATGGGGATAATTATAGTACCTACCTCACATAAGTGTGGTGGGAGTTAAATAAAATCATATATGAAAAGCACTTGGCACATAGTAAATGCTATTATTGTTATGAAACAGTGGTTTTGAGCCTATAGAAAACATGAGGTCGTAATCAATTGGGGTTTCACTAAAAATAACTCAAATCAAACCAGTCTTGTTTTTTTGTTTCATATGGTTACTGAGCATGTTACATGCTTGTTGACTCTTGACTTTAAGCAGACTTTAACCAGTAGATTAAATGGTAAAATATAGACTGGATAGCAGTATGGTTGCATGGATCCATAAGTCCTTAAACTAAGAGTACCAGTTAATAGACTGGTGTTACGGAGGCAGACACTCTTTAATGGAATGCCACGAGGCTTTGTCCTTGCCCTTGTCTGATCCAACAATCTTATTAAAGAAGATACAGAAAACACCATACTGGAAAGACAAGCCAATACAACAGCATAAAGATTCAAATTTACCATGCCAAAAGCCAAGAAAATGAAATGAAAGAGGCATATTTCTTGTACTTAGGTGAAAAAGGAGTCAATGTTAAAAGATGAAGAAGGATTGGCTGAGGATCCTTCTCATGTGGCAAGATTCTTGTATTGATTAATTAATTAATTCATTCATTCATTTGATAACTATCATGCCAAAAGCCAAGAAAATGAAATGAAAGAGGCATATTTCTTGTACTTAGGTGAAAAAGGGGTCAATGTTAAAAGATGAAGAAGGATTGGCTGAGGATCCTTCTCATGTGGCAAGATTCTTGTATTGATTGATTGATTCATTCATTCATTCATTTGATAACTACTGGAGTAACCACTCCAGGCTGGCCACTGCAGAGGAACTACAAAGATGAAAAGACATAAATCCCCACTTTTAGAGAGTTCAGTCTAGTGGAGAGTTAGAGCAAGAAATGGTTTTGGGTTTTCTGTTTTGGTGGCTGGCTAATTCAGGGATATGAACCCATGACCTTGGTGTTACCAGCACCATATTGTCCCAAATGAGCTAACCAGTTAGCCCTAGAAATGTTTTTTTTTCTTAAATAATAAGTGTTAAGATGTATCAGGAATAGCACAATGAGAGGAAACCTCACCTAATACTGCTGTACAGAGGTGACACTGAGGTGAGACTGAGAGGATCAACATGCATTTATCAGATAATCTGACATGGGAAGGAATGATTTTCTAGGTGGACTTTACAGCACATGCCAAGGCCTTCTGGTCATTCCTCCAGTTGACCCTAAACAACTGTACTTGCACATCCAGATTTGGAAAGATTAAGACACAGAGACACATCAGGCCTCTCACCTGACACTCCCAGTTTAAGTTTACACCTGGACACATCTGCACCTTACCATAGGTGATGACAAGCAGCACAAAGTTGAGATTTTTGAAGAGCCGGATGATGGAACTTAAATACGAAGCATCAAGCGATGACAAGGCATAGCTCAGGGATTGGGCCCTGCTGGGAGGATGTTTAGGCTTCTCCTTGAATACTGAAAGGAAAGAAACAGAGATGACTGAAAACTCCCATGGTCCCAACCCAGCAGAGCTGGCTCCAGATGGAAGAGCGCTGGCTCCATCATCTGAGAAGGAGCTAAGAAGCCAAAGGAAATAGTAAATCTTCCGTTAAAACTTTACAGCCTCCTCTCTTGAAGCTACTTCTCAGTGTCTGAGGATGAGAGAGTGGTCCTTTGATTACTTTCCTTAATTGCATCTGGAAGGCTGAAATAATTGGGCCTCCCAGGCAGTGTTCAAAAATCGAGTCCCAGGGGCCGGCCCGGTGGCACACTCAGTAGAGTGCGGTACTTGGGAGCGCACTCCCAGGCAGTGTTCAAAAATCGAGTCCCAGGGGCCGGCCCGGTGGCACACTCAGTAGAGTGCAGCGCTTGGGAGCGCACTGGCGCTCCCGCCGAAGGTTCGGATCCCATATAGAGACCAGTACGCTCACTGGTTGAGCGCGGTACGGGCGCGACACCGAGGGTTGCGATCCCGTTACCTGTCACGAAAAAAGACAAAAAGGAAAAAAAAAAATCGAGTCCCATAATCACCAGCAAATAGCATACCACAGAGCACTAAAAAAATGCAGTAGCAACACATGGATGGAAAAGAAAAGAAAGCTGAAAGCTTAGCTCCAGAGCTCTTCCCAAAAGGGAAGGGACTGTGTAGTTCCTGCTTAGCCCAGAGCGTGGCACATGGCAACCAGTCAATATTCCTTGAATAAATGAAAGGGATCATCTATAGAAAACATCTAGAGTCTGTTTCTAGTTTTGCAAAATCTGAATCAGACATCTGCCTCCTGAAGGAGACAAGAAGATTAACTCTGTTTATAGCCCAGTTTCAATATAACTGGTATGTTCATTTTGACTGCACTGTCTTCCATTCAGTTCTCTGGGGAACAGATCAGTTTGACTAGTTGTTTTGCTAAATTGGTCCCCCAATTTAGTCTCAGCAAGCACCATGTGCCCTCCCCCACTCCTCATGGAACATTCCTGAAAGGTCAGTATACTGTCTCCAGTTAGAGGAAGTTCTGGAAGTGAAGCAGATCAAAGGGGCCTCTCACCTAGAAAACGCCCTAATCCTGACTTCAGAGCCCAGCTTCTTCCTTCTCCGGAAATAGTCCTGGATAACTCCCCCCACCCCACTCCCTTTTTGGGAACCTCTCATCTACTTTGTTGCCTGTTCACCTCTCCTTCCATCAGGGGAAAGAAAGCAAGACAAGAAAGTTCCTTATCTCTGTATCAGCAAGTGTTGGCTCAAGGATCTGGCAACCACAAACCAGAATTCAAATAAGATTTTTTAGTTCTTTACTCAATAAGCTACTAACTGTGCTTGATGATAAAATGCCAAAACATAGAAATGTCCTACCTCCATGTTTTCAGCTGCAAAGAACCAGGCTCATCTGCTACAAACACAAGAATTTGAAGCTGGACACATTACAATTTGAAACTCAAAGTCTGGCTGAATAAGAGGGCCCTGGCCGTATCATTCTTCCCTTCTCTCATCTACAGCTCCCCTGCTTCTCACCTTTTTACCAACTTCTTCTTCTTCTTCTTCTTTTTTTTTTTTTGGCAGCTAGCCAATAAAGGGTTCCAAACCCTTGACCTTGATGTTATCAGCACCATGCTCTACCGAGTGAGCTAACCAGCCAGCCCCCTCTCCCAACTTTTAAAAACCATCAGGCAGCCCTTCCTCGTCCTGGACTCCAGGGAGGGAATGACACAGTGTGAATGCATGAATGAGGTACACAGTGATAGAACTGTTGACTCTGGAGGTGAGGCTGGCAGGCAGGAATAAAATTTTTAACACATGAGGTGATACTTTCGGGTATTAGGAAGAAAGTTGGTTACCCTTTAGATGGGTGACTAACTGAAAATGACAGCTTTGTCTGCTGTTTCTGAATTTATCACAGCCCATACATCACTCGGATGTAAAAGGAAGATATAAAATTTTATTAACCAAATACTTCAATGATTAATTGTACATGCATATAAGATGTTAATAGTAGTTATCTGAGATGGGTTATTAGGAACAATTTGTACAAAGATAAGTTAATGGTCATTCCTCTTTTTATGCTTTTTTGTATTTTCTAGATTTTTCCACAATGAGCATATATTACTCTTATAATTTTTTTAAAAAGCATTAAAGAAATGTGTTCCCCAAGTATTCTAAGGTAAATCTATGAGCTTATTAGCATTTCTGGGTCAATTTCTGTTTTGTTTTTCAGAAATTTAGAGTATGGAGTTAGACAAGCTTAGACTCGAATTCAAACTCTGCCACTTACTAGCTATTTGATCTTGAATAACTTAAATTTAACTTCCCTTAAGTCTCATTTTCCTCTTTATTCAATGGGAATGATAATGGTACCTCATGCATAAGGGTGCTGAGGACTAAATGGGATCAGGCATGCTTAGCACAGTGCCTGTGAGATTGTAAGTGTTCACTGGGGTTTCGTCAAGGGGACCAGCAGTCTACCCATTACTTCTGGTGAAGTAGGATTGAGGAACTGGTTAGTTACAATTAAACCTTTACTGAGCCACTAACAAAGTACATGGGACCAGCCAGCACTATATCAGAGGCAACCGCTCAGGCTAAAATATTTGAGAAGACCATAAGAAGCCCAGCTTCCAGTTTCTGTAAATATCCACGGTCCCCACCAAAGTCAGCAGAACCTCCCCGCCTCTCCAGCACCACCCCCATCAGTCTACTAATGACCTTACCGATGATGACAAGGATGAAAAGTAGAGTGGCCACACCTCCTATTATGTAGAACATGATGCTGATGTGGTAGGCAAGCTTCTCCCGGTCTTCGATGTTGGGTACCAAAACAGGAGGGACCAAGAACCCAATCGCAATTCCAAGCTATAGAAGACAGAGACAATCAATCACAGTTACTAATGGCCAAGAGGGGACAGCACAAATTTAAAGAGACACCTAATAAGAAACATAATTCCCAACTTCCAGTCCTTCCTAAAACCCAAACAGGGATTATTTCCCCAACAAAAAACACCAGAGAAATCTTTCTTTTGATTGAAAGCTTGACTCATACATACTTGTGACCACCCTCACTAACAATGCCTATTGAAAAAAATTATAGTTGAGGTCTCAATGAAGGCTGGCTCTTCTCCAGCTGCAAACTAATGAACAGTGGTTTCTATACTCCCATTTCTGGGATAAAGGAAAAGAATGTTGATTTTTGTGTGTGTGTGCTACTTAAATTTTTGTTTTCACTGAATCTGTTAACCCGGAGCTGACAGACCAGCAGGGGGAAAATTCTATACCCTACAAACCCAAGCTAAAAAGCCTAAAACCTAAAGTTGTTACCACATTTACAAATATGAAAAAGCTTCAGTTCATTGTGTAGATAACTTAGCAACTTCCAAAACATCTGTAGTGTGAAGTCACACACAACTGCAAAAATTTATATGCACAGGACGTGGATACATACAAGTGGCAATAAACACAAACGTACATACATACTTACACACACACACACACACACACCCTGACAAATTAAAATATCTCATATCTGGATTGCAGTCCAAACTCCAGTGAACTGACAGAAAACTTGGGTGTTTCTGAGGTCAGAAATGCTTTGATTCATTAGTGACTAGCTGCGATACAACACCAAAAGCCCTTCTGCCCCACATAATATCAAGGCAAAAATTGGAAAACAGCTTGTGAACTCAGGCAGTTTCAAATTCTAAGTGTAAAGGAAGATAAGTACATCCTTTGTCTTAAGGTCCCACTTTTGTACATGAAGGGAAATGCAGGTAGATAAGCAATTTGTCTTCACTCCACACTATCACACCATTCATTGGCTGCCAATCTGCTGACCGCCCTGATTGGTTTTCCAATCTGTCAATTACATTCACTCAGGATGACTATCAGTAGATTTCAGCTCTGGACTAGTCACAAAAGTCATCATCAATAGGTTCAGTGTAGAGCTCATTATTACAGTATATAATCAATAAACCAAACAAATCTTCAAAGCATCTACTATATGAAAAGTATTCAGCAAGGGCTTCCAGGGCTAAGAGCCTTGAGAAAGACCCAGGTGAGCAGGGTTCTTCAGAAGAGAAGCCTATTTAATGTCCTCAGAGCTTTATCTCATCTTGGTCACAATGGTTTCTCAGAATCAGGCTTTTTAATTGCTGATCTCCGTGACTTTGGTTGAGGGTAAAAACCAGCCACAGACAAAGGGGCAAATACAGCTTTCTTCATAGTGGGGAACCGGGCCCACTCCAGGTCATTTCTGGCCTCCTAAGGGCTTTGGAGTTGAAGGTCTGGAAGTTAAGTAGAATCTCAGAGGGTCCCATTTGCAAAATCAAGGGAAATACTGACATCATCCAAGGCTCTGCAACTCTTTCATTTCCAGGAGGAAAATAGAAACCATGAGACCTCAATATGGTATAACCTAATCCCTGGTGATCTTCTGTCTCAATAAATAAATCTTTCCAGCTGGTGTCACCTTGCATGCCTAACCCCCAGGGGCTGGACTCTGTTCACTCCATCCACATACTATCCTGAGTGAGTTCTGTTCCACCCAACTCCAGTACTGAAGTCTTCCCCAGCCAGCAGGATGGAGCAGTGGGCCCTAAGAGCAAAGGAGGAAATCGGCTTTGGAGGTACTCTCATGCCCAGTGTGGAAACCAAAACATAAGGACTGGACTGTAGCTGCTATCTCTTTTGCTTTTTTGAGACATATTTTTCCTTGCTTCTTGAGAGCAGTGTTCAGTCAGAGTCTGATGCTCTATTTCCAGTAACTAGTTCCTACGTCTGTCCCATAGTAGGTACTCAGTTATGTTGAACGGATGGATGGATAGATGGACAGATGAACACTGGTGGAACATCTTGTCTACAGAAAGCTGGGAATATCATACAGGTCTGCCCATAGGGTCCAGGTTTTTCTACATTGTACCCACAGCGGTAATTTAAAAAAAAAAGTGTACGTGGAAAAAGAGGGAGAGGGTAGGACAGCCTACCACTTCTTGAGCATCTTTTATGCACTGGATATCTAATATACTTTATCTCTTAATTTAACCCAAATAATTGAAAATAAAAAAAAAATAAGAAAAACTCATTTTTCAGCACCCTTCCCAAAGTCATACAGGCAGCTAGCAAAAGAGCTGGGATCCTAAGCCAGTACAATCTGACCCCAGAACCTGGGCTCACTGCACTGCCTCCCATGAAACGCCAGTGTGATGCTAATCAACACAGAAGCCTATATTTTCTCCCATTTGATAGGATACCTCTAGGGTAAAATTCAGAGACCTGGAGCCTGAGTCAGTGCAAGATTAATTTAAAGGGGTAGGAGAACACTGCTCCTGGAGGGTGTTGCCCACAGAAAAACCAGAGACCCAGGTCGGGAATGTAAATGATTAAAAATTACTGTTAACTGGTTTTGAGTTGACTTTTGTCCCTGCACTTGTTCTAGTTTTATCATTCTCAACAAAATGCAAAGTTGGGCAAAATACAAAATTCATAGTCAAACCAAATCCTAGTCTTAGCTCTTCAGGAACTTACTTTTTAAAAATTGCCTTTAAAGTGGAGGTAGGCTCTCTTCATTTTTGCCTATCCCATAGCACCATTTCCTAGCCTTGGCTGATGCCAAAGGTCAACAGCCCCACCCTGTTGTCATCCCTCAGGTCTGGGTTGGGTCCTGAGTAGCTACATGAGAGTACTTCAAAAACTTCATGGAGGGCCGGCCCGGTGGCGCACTGGAGAGTGCGCCGCTTGGGAGTGTGGCGGCACTCCCGCCGAGGGTTCGGATCCCATGTGGAGACCGGTTCCCGCTCACTGGCTGAGTGCGGTGCGGGCGCAACACCGAGGGTTGCGATCCTGTTGCCGGTCCCCGGTACAGTAAAAAAGACAAAAAAAAAAAAAAAAAAAAAAAAAAAAAAAAAAGTTCATGGAAAAATAGAATTGAAAGATAATACTAACCTTTACATAACTTTTTGAAGTACCCTCACATGCAGGCAATCCTTTTTACCCATCAAAGGAGTCTGGGAGACACCAGACTCAGAAAAAGTATGGCACAGCCCTCCTAATGGCTTCCATATGGCTCTGCTCCTGGCCATTCTCCACTGTAGCCAGTGATCTTGGAAAATGTGATCAGATCACATCTCTCACCTGCTTAAAACCCTATAGTAACTTCTCCTTGCTTTTAAATTAGGAGTAAAGGGCCGGCCCGGTGGCGCACTGGATAGTGCGCCGCTTGGGAAGCGCAGCGGCGCTCCCGCCCGAGGGTTCGGATCCCACATA